GATATTTCCTCCGTCTATTTTTGTAACTTTCTTAAATAGGTTTTTGTCACATGTCATGTGAATGGAACCCACACTATCTAAGTACCATTTTCCTTTGCGACTCCTCATGTGGTGTTCATACAAAATATAGTTATTACTTTCTTTTAGGTACCCAAGCTTGCTTGGGTCCTGGTTGGTTAATATTACTCGACTCAGGATTGTTTTTGGATTTTCAAATCCATCCTGAAATATTTGATTTACGAAATTGACAAAAGGAATATTTATGTCCACTTTTGTTACAATAGCGTAAATCCTGATCCATTTTTGGATCTTTCATTAGTGTTAGTACTAGTGGACTCTGTTCTGGCTGGTACTTCTCCAGTTGACTTTAAGTCGCATGGTTTGACCTGAAAGAACTATGATTGGTGGATTTGCGCATGCCATTGAGTTGCATTTGCAATTCCTCAAACTCTTCTTGAAGTACTTCTTTTTCAATTTCACATACTTTATGCTTGAGTTTCCAGTATTTTACTTCTTTATTGAGTTGCTTTAGTTCATTCATCATTTTTTGAGACTCTTTCAAAGTAAGGTCAAGGATATCCTGCAATTCATTACACCTTTCGCAGTTATAAGATCTTACCTCGTTTGTTTCACCTCGTTCCATGAAACAGTTCTCATTGTCATCTTTGCATTCATCGTCTGAAGTGTCCTCATCTGTCCAACACCCTGAGAGTTTATTCATGTCGTTTTCCAGAATTGTCATGAAGCAAAGATTTGCTATCTCTTCGTGTTCTGAACTATCTTCATCACTCCAGCTTCTAAATGATTTTTTCTTATTGAAGCCTCTGGAAACTTTTCTTTTTAGATCAGGACATTCAGCTTGAACATGCCCAAATCTTCCATACTCATAGCATTTTCCATCATTTTTGTCTTGTCCATTATATTGTATGGTTCGCTTGGGTGGCATCCTTTCTCTTCTCGCATTCCTGTATCTCCTCATTACACCATCCATATTCCTTGATATCATGGCAATTTCTTCTTGAAGAGCTTTAGGGTCATCATCAATATCATTTTCTGCCTTTTTAGTTGTGGCCTTGAATGCAACTATTTTCTTCTTTTCTTCCTCGTTTGTTTTCTTGAGATGAGTTTTCTCGAAAGCTATGAGTTTTCCTCGAAGTTCATCGTATGATAGTTTGTTCAAATTTTATGATTCAAGTGTAACCACTTTTGTCTGTCAAGTAGTGGGTAGACTTCTAAGAATCTTCCTAACTTGATCATCATTTGAGTATGTTATGCCAAAAGCTTTTAGATCGCTAATGATTTTGCTAAATTTGGCAAACATCTCTTCAATAGATTTTCCTTCTTTCATCTAGAAAAGTTCATAGTCATGAACTAACATGTTGATATAGATTTCTTTCACTTTACTGGCTCCTTCATACGTAACTTCAAGTTTATCCCACATCTCTTTGGCTGTATCGCAACTGGAGAATTTCTCATACTCCTCACCACTAATAACATTATAAAGCAGATTCTTTGCCTTATTGTTAACTTGTACAACTGCCATTTGCTCATTTGTATATAAATCTCTATCTTCAGGATTAGCAGGTGGTTGAGCGGCAACCGGCAGAGGGTAGTTCCCCTTTTTGATAACTCTGCAGACTTTGACATCATATGCCTTTGCGTATATTTTCATACGCACTTTTCAGTGAGAGAAATGTTGTCCATTGAAATACGGTGGCCTCACTTGCGATGTTCCTTCTTGGAAGAGTGTTCCGATAATAACTTGATTTGCCATGATCTTTTCTCACAAGTTGTTAAGCAAAAGAAACATGTGAGCCTCGCTCTGTTACCAATTGAAAATACAAGGGGAGGGGGTGAATTGTTTATTTTTATATTTTAATCACTACAAGTTGACTAGTTTTCTAATTAGTCGACTAGAGGTAATAACGAGATAACAATAAGAGCAGAATTTAGGATGCAGAAATAAAGTGCAGCACCGAAATTTTTATACTGGTTCAGATTCAATGTGCATCCTAGTCTGGTCCCCTTGGGTTGCAAGGGAGTTCTCTTTCGGTGAATGAGTTTCTTGAGTACAACGTGAATGGTGTGATTTACACCAATGGCTCAGTTTCTATGTCACTCGTTTCCTTTTGATACAATTCCTCACCAGTATTTTTCCTTCTTTCTTCTTTAACTTGTTACACAACAGATCTAGAAGAGCTACAATGTTTGTTTGTAGTAGAACAAAGAGAGGGGTATTTGGTTTGATCAAAGTATATATGTCTAAGGCTTAAGGATATGTACAAATACTTTGTAGGAGGTCATTGCTGAAGAGATTTGCCAACCCAAGAGATTTGATCCTTGAAAGAAATTAATTCTTTCCAAGAATAAGGTTATTTGTCGTTGCTCTTCCTTGATGAGAGGACTTTAATAGCTTTCCTTCTATAGGTCTTGATAGCGCCGGATTTTCTCCTTGCTTTTTGGTCCTTCCAGTAATAACAGCTTGATCGATCATCTTGCAAGATCTTCGATGCTTCTTTTCCGCTTTAATCAATCTCTGATTGATTTTCATGCCGAATCTTTAGTTGTTTGATTGATTCCTTCCTTTTGATTTCTTCGATCTTGGATGCCTTCTTTGAGTCCCTATACCAAAAGCAATTATATTATTTTTCATCATTAAAACTAAAACCGAACAATTTTGACGTCCAGAATTGATCATCGACCCCCGAACACGATCCCAGCTTAATCCCTTGGACTTTTACTCAGACTTCACAGCTCTAAATAGCTCAAATTAGTTCCACAACATCTACATAGCTCAGAATCACTCCTACAAGGCATAAAACACACAATAAGTGCAAAACACTAGCGATTAAAGCTCAAACACCATAAAAGTGGAGTAAATTAGAGTGTGATAAGCGACTAAAATACATAATTATAGCCTACTATCAAAAATACACTTAGAAATACCTTTTCACAGCTTGGCCAAACACTAAGTGCTACTCAAAAGTATTTTCAAATTAATTAATCAAACACAAACTGGTTCTCGCCAAAAGTACTTTTGAGAAAAAGCACTTCTCATATAGTCTATTTGGCCAAGATTTTAGAAGTTTGGCCAAACATACTATTTGAGAAGTACTTTTGACCAAGTTTTTCCAATCCTAGAAGCACTTTTTTTTTTGAAAAAGTTAGTTTTTTTTCAAAGTTGATGTGTTTGGCCAAGCAACCTTTGGAAGAAAAAAAAGTGCTTTTGAGGAGAAGCGGAAAAATGCACTTTTTCGAAAAGCACTTTTAAGAAAAATACACTTACAAGCAGTTTTTAACAGCTTGGTCAAACATTAATTGCTGATTAGGATTGCTTTTCAAATTAATTAGCAAAACATATATTGCTTCTCACCAAAAACACTTTTGATAAAAAAATACTTCTCAAAATAAACTGACTTTTGCAACTTGGCCAAACAGACTATAAACTCATAAGAGAAATATTAGAATTGGACAAGTTTACGGTGTAGCTAATAAGATTTGGCTAATAATTTGGAGATTCATCACCTTAGGTTGTGTAGCCCTGCAATTTCCACCAACTCTATTTGTTTACCTTTAAAATGGATAACAATTGAATTTATATGTGGTTCTAAAGATATGTAGATTGATTCAACACAAATAATCAAGAATGTTAGATAAATGAGTTAAAGATACTATGAATAGTCAAACCAATCGTAATGTTATGGCCTACCTTGAACTTGGATTGGGCAATAGTTTCTGCCCTCGGTTGGATCTTCGGTTCGAAGCCAATCAAGAACAAAGAGCAAAAGTAAAATAAAGAATTTTCAGTAGCTAGAAAGCAGAGAATAATTTTATATCGCTTTGGTATGCGTGTTATAATGTCCCTATTGAATAAAAAGCTTCCCCTTTATATAGTAGGAGAGTTCCATCCCAGTACAATTCTAAAAATGGTAAGAAATCCTCCTTTTCTGTCAATTGCTGATACACTACCGATATCGAAAGAGATCCGCGCCGTAATATCCAGTTAGGTGCGGATATCACGGTCCTCTGTTAGTCGTATGCAACCCTTTGAAGTGCTTTCCAAGGTCTTGGAGCTCGTTCTAGGTCCGAGGAATGTTATCTTGTCGGGCCCGATGACGAGTACCCCATTCCAGCCTCGATCCAAAGAGTTTCCAACTTCGATCTCGATCTCATACATTTATATTCTTACTTCATTTGACTCCGGGAAGTCGGTGTGTGCGCTAACCCCGAGCTCATCCGTATACACTATATTTACTATTTTTAGAATTTTTAGATTGACTAACATTATTCTTTGCGGGTGCGATCCTGAACTCATCAGCCAAGTTATATTTGCAAACCGATTATTCTTTTTAGGACTAGAATTGGACGTCATAAATTTTCACCGAATATGGAGGCTGAGTGCTATTCTACTAATTCCAAAGGACTGACTTATTTTAATATTGTCATGCAGAAACAAGGACCATAGAAACTTTCTGTCATGATGATAGAATTAGTGGAATGCCAGTTTGATATACTAGTGATTCTGCAGTTTTCTATAAGTCTTTATCTTTTCCTTTAGGTAACCATAGGATAGGATGTGACTATCCCAGTTTTATTTTAGTTGTTGTAACAGAGTACTTTGACTATAGAAGGTACTGCAATCTTGTATTTTGGTCTTGTAAACATGTTATTCTAATCACTGTCCAGACCTATCCATATTTTGTTACATAGCGGGAATCAGAATCCAATTGCCATTGGTGCAGGGTCACTAGTATAATGACGACAACAACAACAACGATCCAGTAAAATCCTATTAGTGGGGTCTGGAGAAGGTAGTTATACACAAACCTTGCCCCTACCCCGAGGGGATAGAAAGGCTGCTTCCGATAGACCCTCGGCTCAAGAAGACCAAGGTCACTAGTATAATGAATTATTAGAAAGTACTCTTTTTCCCTTTTGGAAGCTCTACCCTTGCACTCGAACTACTTAATAATCAGGACGAAGATAACACCAAAATACAATTATGTCTCAATCTCCAACAAGTTAGAGTTGACTATATGAATCCTCATTGACCACGTCGCTCCATTTAAACACACTCTGTCCAATATAATACAAAATAAAGACAGTCTCTCGAGACGACCAAAAAACCAACATTATACAAAATAAAGTCACAGTCTCTTGAGACGACCAAAAAAAGGAGAAAAACGTTGTAGGTATTGAAAGGTATCATAATCTCTCAACTTGATATGATTGCACTTACATGTTTCATAGCTAAAGTCGACGAAAGAAATATGATAACCCTACTTTTGAGCTCTCTTCAGCAGGAATCTTAGGGAAAATACCCCCAAAGCAAATGTCTGCCAAAACCATGCTTTTGCATTTGCAGGATCTACTGTTTTTGCAAGATTCCATGCATATATAGCTTCACCTGCATGTGCTGTAGCTGCTAGAACAAACATCACTTTCAATGCCAACATAGAGCGAAAGAAGAAGAGGCCAATTGCTCTAACAAAGGGAATGGGTCCATAATCCGGCAAGTATGCAGCACCAAACAACGATAACATTCCAATCGCACAAAACAGCCATGTCCATATTGTAGGTCCATCCAAACTCCTCCTTTTTCTTTCTTGCCAATATGCGATGGTTGCAGCCATACCCTCCTTGGAACTCACTAGTGGGATGTATCCAAGTTCCTCCTTTGCTTTTAGAAATGAGAAGTAATGAGTGACACCAACCTAGCACAAGCAGAAGACCAAAAATCAGCTAGAATTCTACCTCTTATACAATAAATGTCGTGTCCGTGGGGCTCAGCCCCACCTGTGGGATTAAACTGGGTTTGTTGTTGTTGTTGTTGTTCATGACAGAATTCACAATAGGTGGACAGGTTTGAAACAAGGTGTCGACATGGGTGTAAACAGGCGGGGGTCACCCCAGAAAAAAGTCTTTAACTCATTGGACAGCTTTTTAACCAATTAAAACAATCTTATTACAGAAAGAAAAAAATAAATTGGATAAATTAGCGTAACAAGGTATGCGAGAGTCACGACTCACGGGTATATTATCAATTCTATAATAGTAAGGTCATTCGTCTAGAATAAAGTTGCACAGAGTATTCAGGTAATGCTAATTAGGGCACTAAACAAACAATTTTCATAAAAATTATATCTGTCAAGGAGTTATAAAAACTTACAGAAAAAGAAAAATCCAAGTGAATGGCTAAACTGAGAAAATTGGGGAATGGGAGAGAATCTAATGAAAGAGGAAACTATAAGTATGTCTTTTGGTAAACTACTTGAAATTATAGGATTCATTATTCATCAATCTAAAAGGAAAGCAAAGCAGAGAAGGTTAATGAAACCTCTAGGCAGAAATATTAATGGAAGTAAAGGGGATGCAATGGCCCCTATGAACCACCTCCCCCTTGTTCCACCCCTATAGGAAAATAGATTTATCTCTGTAGACTTTAACAGGTCAAGCGGAAAAATTTTATTTTGTGCCTCACACAACTGACACTAGTTGTGTGAGGCCTCTTTTTTGTCTCACAACTGTGTGGGTCCCAGGATTTTGTGGACCCAGATGTGTAAGATATGGGTCCACAAATATGTGAGATAAAAAGATGCCTCACACAACTAGTGTCAATTGTGTGAGGCACAAAATAAAATCACTCGGTCAAGCCCATCATTTAACTCTTGGAAATATGTTGGCAATATAAGTACTGATAAAGGAGCCAGGGGAAAAAAGACAACAATCAATCATTCGTTCTCTAAGAACAGGAAGTCACTGCTTTTGCTTCAGTATAATTGCCATAACGAGAAAATGGTTCATCCACAGGTCTGTTCAGAGAATAAAAGAAGCAATAATGGATTCAAAGATGAAGTACTAACCTTATAGACTTCAGCAGGAAGGATCAGAGGTTGAGGAAGCCAGCTACGATTTAACCAAGGATGCAAGATGGAGTACAAGGCCCAGAAAAAATTTCCCAGAAGAAGAGCTTGAGAGACAGTTAGTGATGTCTTTGGTAGGTCGTAGTCCAGGCTTTTCAGTAAAGGGCGAAGGAACTCAAAACTGTTGATCGGAGACCCTGCAATAGAAGATCAATGAAGTAGGAAGGTGATGCAGCAAGTAACAAATGCTCTGCTCAGAGCAAAATTTGTACTCTGATAAGCGATTAATTGGTCCAAGATTCATGCTAAAGTCTCTGGAGATCCCCGGACTCATAATCCTACTCTACTAGGTCCAAGACTCCACAATCCTAGAGAACAAATATGAGACAAGGAGTTATTACCATCTGATATAAAATAAGGTTGACCAGCAGCAACTGGATGCCCTTTTCTGCCAGGGATGTCATCCAAAAGTCCCATGCTAGCCAATAGAAGTGCCAATACAAGATTGTCCACGTACACCCAATCTGATTTCACATTTGGTGAACCAATTTTGAACGGAAGCAGACCTAACTTTGCAAGAGTTATGATCCTCGGCAGGTGCCTTTCTTCACCTGGACCATATATAGCAGCTGGACGAATTGCACAGGTGTAAAGGCATTTTCCATTTTTCTTACTGTGCAATGAATACAGAAAAGAGAGAAAACAACCATATAAATTATGTTAATACAGCATCAAGCTGCAGTTCTACATATGAACCACCATAAATATACTTATACACACACATTGTACATAGGTAAATAGGCAGAGATGCAGGTACAAAAATTGCATATTTCTTTTTTAAAAGTTGGTTGTACTATCCAATAGGAAGTAAGTAAGTGAAGATATGTGGAACCGATTATGAAGTGCTTTTAATAACCAAAAAAAAAAAACCTTTGGAGCATGGTGCACTTTACTTATTGTATGTATCTTACCAAAACATTGCAGAACACGGAAAAGTAAGGAATTAAACAAATGTGTCATATTACGGAACCAGGAAACAGAATTGAAAAAGCCAAACAGCTCTTGAGCGGTTAAAAGAACCATTTACAAAAAGGTTTTGGCAGCTTTCTGCCTTGCATGTTTGCACTGGGAGAAACTGATTGAAAAAACTGGCAGAGGAAAAGCCGATGACATTTTGCTTATTTTATTATTCTTTCCATTTGAAGGAAATCGTATCTTCCAGTTAACAAAAACAATCTTGTAAGTGCAACTATCTTGCCAAGACATCAGCTATCTTCGATAGTATATAGCACGTGGTTCAACATGATAGTTCAATGCAGTCAATTCTGAGTGAACAGAAGAAAAGTGTGAAATTTCGATGGATCTAGGGAAAGGGGATGACTTATATGTGTGTTTCTATTCCATTGTATACATTAGAGAGAAGTTCAACCGCATAAACTGACAGGAAATCGGAGAGTGGATCGTGAATGATAATGTTCCTGCAAATTTTACTTACTTGAAGGGACGACCATTGCTCTTTAGGACTAATTGCTCAGCGATGGATTTGCTGCGTCCATATGGATCAACATGGTCATCAACAGGGAAATAAGGTAGATTTTCATTGCCATTAACGATTTCCTTACCACCATAAACGACATTACATGTGCTCACATAAACAAGCCTCTTAATCTGATGCTCAACGCAAGTATCAATAATGTGACAGGTTCCATTTATATTAACCTCATCAACACGACGATATTGGAGCATTTCTTTCCCCGACATGCCATAGGAAGCAAGATGGAAAACACAATCTGCCCCTCGTAGTGCTTTCTGGACATCTTGTTTGTCTGTTATATCCCCTGAAATTTGAAAACACAGCAAATTACGCTGCTGCAGAAAATATTTCACCGAAACACTAAAACATACAAGCGGACTGTACACTAGTTTTCAATTTTCGATTTTAAAACGCAGGCCAGTTCCTTATAATCAATCAACTATGCCTCACCAAATAAATTTGGGATACACTATCTCTGAGTAACTGTATCGATTTTGCTCTATTTAGATTCATTTCATTCAAATACCCCTAAAAGCTGGCATCTTTTCACTAACCCATCTCCTTTCTTGATCCTTTTATTACTTATATGTTGATTGGAATTGAGAATTCAGATTAGCCAAATGATACCAATCTTAACAGAAACAACTAGTGCGTGTATTGACAATCAGCAAAGAAAAAGGGAATTTCTTTTAACAACAATCAGATAAATAAGACGTAAAACAACAGCTTTGACCTTCAGAATCAATCACCCAAATTGGATAATAAAAGTTGACTCATTTACCTTGGATGAAATGAACCCCATTTTGACGGAGTTGATGAGACCAAGGAGAATGGGTACGAAGATCAAAGGCCTTAACAATACGAGCACCCCTTCTGACGAGCTCAAGACAAAGTGCGGAGCCTACGAAGCCTAGTCCACCGGTCACTACGAAACTATTGTTCTCTATCCCTTCGTTCTCGCTCAGATGCATTCTCTCTCTACTGCTAATTGCTTACACCCAACTACAACAAACTACAAAACTACTCCACACCGCTTTCCAAATTTGCGCAAGCCTTACCTTATTTCTGTATATCTGTTCTTGTCTTAGTTTTGGACTCAAGAATGTTTGTTCTTTTTTACACGATCCAAGCTAGTACACGTCAATTTCATGGACCAAATACGATGCATAAGTAGGCATTGCACAAATGCTAAATCGCATTTATCTACAGTGGCGCAAATGGATTTTCAAGTGAGTCGTATTTTTATTATCAAATACGCATTTACTAAATGTGATATATATATATATATATATATATATACAAATGCGGTTTATTGGGCTCCAACATAAACGGGGATTTGCATCTATACCCAATTTTTGGGTCACAATTTAACTTATACCTACTTTGTAAAAAAATATTGCAAACGTATCCACTTTTCGGGTAACTTCATATATACGGGGCCTGAAGTAGCAAGAACTTATGTCTGAAGTTTGAACTTCAGATTTTTTTGCCTGAAGTGTGACCTCATCAAAGTAAACTTCACATACTTTCGTATGAAGTTTGGCCTAACTTGCAAAAGCAATCAAAAAAACTTCAGTTCATAGTGCAAACTTCAGACAAATTAGTCTGAAGTTCTTCAGTTTGTAGTGCAAACTTCAGACTAATTTATAGTGCAAACTTTAGATAAAATCAGCTTGTTATATTTGAACTACTGATAATTTTTCCTGGCATGAAAGTTGCAAACTTCAGACGTAATTTAACCTGGTAATATCTGAAGTTTGGCCTGCAGTCCCAAATTTCAGTTGATGCTTCTTCAAGTTTTGAATATAAACTCTTGATTTATTATTTACGTACGTTGTGTTAGGATATATTAATGTTTGAGAGGCAGTGGTGAGTCTTTCTTTCTTCTTGATTTGTCGTTTTGTCCAATTTTCAGAAACGATAACATGTGTAACTTATAGGATAACACGTTTGAGAGAGAAAAGAAGAAGAAGAGGAAAAGAAGAGGAGAAAGAAAGGAGCGCATAGGTCGCAGGATCTGAAGTTGTCAAAATTAGGGTATAAGTTAAATGGGGGAGACCAAATAGGGCGTGTAATTTTTACAACATAAACCGCATTTGGCCATAAGCCACTAATGATTTAATTCCTCATTTCTGTTTTTGAGTACGTTATTAGTTATTGTAAAATTTTACTTTTTTATTTGTAATTTTTCAATAGAGAATGACTTATAGAAACGAAAAAAAGTTTTTCATATGATGATAATCGCTTATATAATTAATTTAGTAATTATCATGTATTAATAAATATAAAAATTCACTCATGCATATGAGTACTGAATAATAATTAATCACTTGAACTTTTTAAAGCCTTTAATAAATGTGTTATGTTAACACATTACTTTGTATAGGAGAAACCTCATTTTTTGGAAGTCATTATCTATCATAGAACTATAAATGAAAAGTTAATTTTCACCCATTAAAAAATTGCAATCCTAGAACTATTGATTCCTAGATTTGAACGGATTTTTTTTTTGGTTAAAGGGGAATATATTATATAAATAACAAAAAACTAGGAATTACATTGCAGAGTACTGTCTAAATTGGGGTATTACATTTCCCCTAAGACGGTAATATTTTATTCAATTGTATCAATATTACATGCCCAAAAACTCATAAGTACTTCAGTCCCTAGGATGTCTACCCAAAATATATCATTTGTAAACATCGGAGGAATTGCTAGTGTGGTAATTCTACCCAAAAAACTTGAATTTGCTGCCTCTTTTACCAGTGCATCGGCCACCCTATTCTGTTCTCTGTAGCTTTACCTCACCATCACCTTGTCCATCATTTGCATTAATAACCTGTATTCACAAATCATAGGATCGCAAGTTGTGTTGCTTGTGAGTAGTATTTTTATTACTTTAGCCGAGTCAGTATTTATTTCTATAGGAATCCAGCGATTTTGTTCTGCTAGTTCGAGGCCCTTTAGTAGTGATTTTAATTCTGCCATGGTATTGGTGGTATGTGGTATATATTCCATATACCCCATAATCTAATTCCTACTGTGATTTCTGATGACTCCACCAATTCTCCCAATGCCTGGGTTGCCCTTGGCAGCCCCAAACATGTTGAGTTTATAGTGACCCCTCCTAGGGGTTTCCATTTAACGTTGGTATGGAATGGCCTCCTGATAGCACCATTTTGTGCCAACATATAGTACTCTATTGCTTTGGAGATGGTATTATTAACATTGATGTTATCTCTTTTATTATTAAAAAGATTATGGTTTCTTGCTAGCCAGATGTGCCAAAAACAAAAAGGGATAATATTCTCCTAAGGAATAATATTGTTGAAATAGAGATTCTTTAGCTTATTCCATGTTAATGGCCATTGTAAAGCTGAGAATATGGGATTCAACTGTTGACTTTCAATAGATCCCTTGGATAATATTTAATGCCAGAAGTGGGTTGCATTGGGGCATTCAAAGAAGATGTGGTCGTTGGTTTCAGGACTTGCTGAGCAAAAACAGCATTGAGGGTTATAATTAACTCCAATTCTGTGCAGAAAAGCTCCAGTAGGCAACCTATCTTGAGCAAGGAACCATGTAAAGTTTTTGATTTTTTAGGAACTTTTAACTTCCATATCCAAGTGAAGTTGTGTTCCTCTCCTTTCCACAAAAACTCTTTATTACCGCTAAGGAAGGTATATGTTCATTTGGTGGTGAAGGGCCTACTTGGAGTCAACCCCCACATTAGCATGTCTTCCTTGGTAGAGTTGGTAGGGATGAAAGTTGATTGACCAGGTTAGTGACGTTCTCAGGAATGTCTATAGAGATGAAAGAGAAATCGTAGTTTCTAGAATTGTAGACAGAGTCCACTTTGGCAGCTATGTCATTAGGGGTTAGAGGGCCCTCAATCATGTTCCTAATTGCTGGCTGGTTTGGGATCCATTGTGATAGCTTATATGAGTCTACCAAACTATAGAGTACCTGTTCCCGTATGAGACTGATACGTAGAATGTTGTAAAGGCTGAAAGTAAAGAAGGCAAGAGATTTTCTACGTAGAAAAATCCCACACAAGGGGATCAAAAAACCACGACCTACTCTTGTAGGCTTTTAACTCAACTAACTTGTAATCTACCTATTATAAGCCACTTTACAAAAACCCTATTGCAAAGACTTTAAACTAACTTGTGATGCAACCACCACAAGCCACTCTCTAACTCTCCTAGTTATAGAGGATTTAACTTATGATTATTTCTAGTCACAACATAAACTCTAAAGTTTATGAATTTTGTTTGTTCCTAAAACAACGCTTCTAAGAAAGCAAACTAGGAATTAAAATGTAGAACAATTAACAAGATTACAACTCAACTATGGATATACATAAGACTTCATTTAGAAACTGATCCTTAGTGGAGTTGTCTTCTTGTTCTTGACACACCAGTGATTTCAATGCCGGATCGATGCTTCTTCTTGAGAGAATATCACTGAGTGCACAAGTGATGGTGTGACTTGCACCAGGTTGTTTTATCACAAAATATATCACAATAGATGGTGGTGTCAACTCTTGGTATAATTCTTCTCAGTGAGAAGTGACTGCTGCACTGTCTGCACACCCACTTCTGGGCAGTTGCGTTCCAGTTGGACTTTGTGCTTTATGTCAGGACATACCAATCGACTAGGTCCTAATACTTCTGTCAGGACATATACTAGGACCAGGTCCTAGTTGTGTTCCTCTTTCTGTAACAGTTGCCAGATGGTCACTTTCTTCTGCTGCATTCTGGCTGTGCACTTGACTTGCACATTGGTCAGAGAACCCTAAGGGAGCAGGTCCTTGTTGTGTTCCTCTTTATATTGATTGCATACAGTTACTAACTTGTGCTTTTGTCAGAGAACCCTAAGGGACCAGGTCATCAGGTCCTTGTTGTGTTCCTCCATGTGGTCATTCATCCATTTGCTGATGTTCAGGCTTCGACTAGTTCATATGAGATGTGTATCCTGTGGAGCAGGTTCTCTCTCTAGTTCTTCACGACAAGTTTGTTAGATCATCAAAACATAAGGTTAAGTAAAAACCCATCAATTTCTCCCTTTTGATGATGACAAACTTAAGAATGGATAGTATTTGTTTAGAGCAGAACCAGATAGGGATAACTAGACGAAGTTTCCCCTTAATCAAATTCCCCCTTAATCAAAGATCTTCGTCAACCATGTAACCATGTTATCCCACCTTATCCTTATTTCCCCCTTTTGGCATCATTAAAAAGAACAACTATGAAGAAGAGCACAAGAAGGTAATAAGCATAAAGAAGTCTAACACAGCTAGCTCATGCCACATATGTGCACACAACATGACAGAAAATAGAAGCCAGAGGAACACAATGTTGTACATGCAAGGAAAGGGGAGCTATTTCATTAATGTTTACATTGGACTGCGCAAGTCAGGAGCAGTAATGGTTAAGTTCAACATGCCATCACAAAAAAAAAAACAAGTAAACACAAGTAAAACAGTAGCCATAGGATGTTGGAGAAAAAATATCTTGACACTAAGAGGATCCTAGGGAACACTAGAGGAGGGAAGCTTAGCGGAAGAGACAACAATTGTTTTGAGAACCAGGTCAATTCTAGCATTTACAGTCAGTTGTTCTTCAAGTAGTTGAGCTCTAAGTCTATCATTTTCCTTTCTCAATTGGACAATCTCCTCATGTATAGAATCAGGTCCCTTAGCTGCTTGGCTAAGCTGAGTTTCTAGAGTGGCATTTTGAGCCCTCAGCCTTCGTATTTCCTCATAGGCTACGTTTTGGGTGTTTATCAGCTGAGAAATGGTCGAGATGCTTCCACCAACTTTTTATATGCATTCACATTCTTCTGGAGTGGTCTTAGAAAAGGTTTTCTTGCGTGTGTCCACTCTAGGATTTCCCAAGGGAACTTTATAGAATCCGAACACTTGAGTGATGAGAAAGCCATAAGGTAACCCATGATTGCCACCCTTAAAATTTGCCACCTTCTGCATGTGATCTATCATGATTGTTGGTAAGTTGATTGGTACAAACTCATCAAGCACTTCCATCAGGACAAAATCTGACTTTGTGGCAATGGAACGTCTCTCAGAGCGGGGTAAGAGAACTTTATTAACCAGTTCAAAGAGAAGCTGGTACTCAGGAAGCAACACCTTCTTATGGACCTGTTCCCCCTATTGAATGGCTTGCTCTTTCATGATGGCTCTCCGAAAGTTTATTCCATAGAC